GAGAACCTACTTGACTTGATTTCACCAAAATGGCCTCCTATATTTAGGGTTTCTATATGACAGGCATTATTTAGGTATAATAAAAATGTAAGGGAGATCCAACCGTAGCTCTCCTAAGTTTATAGTCTAGTTTATAGAAACAGTTATAATCCAAAGTGATGGGAGCTATAATATTTAAAATGCCATAGGAATTTGGAAAACCTAGTACCAGAGTCTCCTAAGGGATGTGAGAGAAGGTTTCATGAAAGAAGATATGCTTGGACACTTAAGTATTACTAGAAATTTGCTTGGTAGACAACGAGGACAGGGAATTCCAAGTGGAGAAAGTATCATGATGTGAAACCACTGAGGTATGAGAGAATATGGAACCTTTAAGGTCTCTGCCCAGAAATTGCTAATTGAGTGGTATAAGGGAGCTCTGTAAATTGGCATTGGGAAGGTACTTCTGGCTTAGGTGTTAGTTGATTGTTTTGCAACTTTAATCATATATCATTCTATATCTTTCATAACTTATTCCTCTATTTCTCTGGCCATTTACTTCTTCAGGATCAGTATGAAAAGACCTTTTTCTTTTTCCTTTTTAGTGGTATTTAGGAGTCATATTTGTGTTTTTCCCCTGAAACTAAATATTAATACAATATAGCGATGACTAATGAATACTGAATTAGGTGTCAGGGGACCTGGATCCTTGTTTTCCAGTTCTCTCAGCACCGATGTCACTTGAGCCAAATCATTTAATAACTCTGTCTTTTTACTAGTAAAATGGGAATATTAACACCTGCATTGCCTACCTAAGGGTTAGGAGAAAGTGAAAATGAGATGCTTAAAAATTAAAAGATATAATAAACTTTTTTACTTGGATTTCTGCTGGCTGAGGCCATCCCCTGACATTTAAGACAAGTAAAAGACTTTGTGGGGGTATCTGTATTGGAAAATGGGGTTGGAAAGTAATAAATAGAAGTAGTCTAACTTCCTCATTAACTCCATATGTCTGCCCTTCTGTCTGTGGAAAGTTATTTAGCTTATTTCTATATTTTCAAATTTACATGATAAAATTTCCTTCTTCCCAATGGTCTGTCATGTGTATCTTATGTTAGTAAAATGAGTTGATATATTTCATAGTCAACCTTGAATAATTTATATCTATTAGGTAGTTTGAACTACTCATGAATTACCCTCAGTCATTTGTGTTACACTATAGTGGTATGATCTGAGTTTTGTTACATTTTGGGGAAATGTTAGAAGGTTATGAGTCATTCAAATAAGAATGGGAGGTTATATAACTGTGGACTTCTACTTCCTTTGCTATGTTTCCTAATCCAATGACAGTATAGGCAGAGTTACTAGTAACAGGAAAAGGCACTTCAATTCATTTTATTCCCTTTGATCCCATCTTCCCCATTAGATTGAGTGGTAATACCACTGGAATCTGATCATTTACATGAAATACAAACATTTGGGATGTAGGAATATAAGCAATTACTTCCAGTAAAAATACCTCAGACCAAACCTTCTTTAGATCAATGTTTCTGAAAATCTGTCATCTAAGGATATTTCTGCATGATAGAAAACTCTATAAACCACTTAATTCACCATGCTCTGAGCTATCTTACATACACCAGAAGAAAGGAGAAGAGTTCTGCTATGAGTGAGATAACATGATCATGGTATTTTACATGGAATGTAAATGAATTATTTATTCTAGATTAATAAAGACCCTGTCATCAAAATCACTAATAATATGAGACTTACTGTGGACTACCAGGAGGTGGTTATTCTCATCTTGTTTGCTCTTACAACTTCTAGATGAACTAGTTGGATAAAATACCTATTCTAGTTCAAAGTATAATACAAAATTATTATTACTTTTTCTGCCAGGCCTCAGTAACTACTCTAGTGACTGTTCTGTTTTCCACAAAACTAAATGATGGAAAAGTCTGGTTTATTTTCTCTTTGTTCTGAAATCTAGAGTACCGTTGACACATAGCTTACAAACATTCTTCTGAAGACTGAGAAGATTAAATTATTTTTATATCACCTAAGTACTACCCTGTTTTGAAGATTTCTTGAGAAAAGTGTGGCACATATACAAAATTACATTCTTCATTTTTATCTGTATTTGAATATTTTCCTTAAAAGTTAGTGGAAAGGAAAGTAGTCAGTTTTTGCACTCAATAAACAAGAAGGATGTTGTAGAAAGTTTTTATCTGGGATGTTTTTAAGTCATTTAGAGAATGTTTTCTAGTATCAAGTGCTTTTTGAAATTATTGGCAGAATCCTCTTAACTTACTTTAACATTAAGTGGTTGAATAGATGAAAAGTTTAATTGTCTACATAAAAGAAAGCACCACGGTTTTTGCATCATTGCATAAATCTAAGACATTGTGCATGCATAAAAAGGATGAGACAAAGCTGAATGTTAAATGCAAATATCAAGGAAAGTTTGTCTGCGTATTTGACAGTGAGCATAATGGGGTGTGGTTCCACAGGGAGAGAACACTAAATATTTACATCCCAGGACATGTTTGTATGGTAAATCTTCTTGTCTTAGATTACTCTCCCAGCTAACACTTCCCCCCTCTGCCCTTTTTAAAAAAATGCACCCCCTTCTTACACTTGGATTTTCTTCCTTAATACTATGGGGGAGGAACAAACTTTCCTCTATCCTCAAGGTTCTGTATGCTGGTCTAATAATCACATAGACATGAGACAGGCTAACAAGAGAAAATAACCAGATTTAGTACATACATATGATGGGAACCCCACATACATGAGAGAGTCAGAGAACCCCATATGCAGGAGAGGTTCTGAGACTGAAAGGGAACATGGGTATATATGACATTCTGAGCTAGGGGTGAGGTAATGCCCCTTGGGGCTTCAGAAAGTCACTGCAGGGAGAACACATGTTCAGTAAGTAGTAGTTTGCCCTGCCATATAGATAGGTAAAAAGTCATTTCTGCTGATAACTCTTATTGCAAGCCAGGCTCCTAATGTTAAATTCTTTTAGACAGTCAAGGAGGGAGCAGAAGTTTCTCTCCAGCCCATAGGGTCTCAGTTGCCCCTAGCTTAAAATAATGTGCACAACTGAGGCACATCTTGGGGTGGCTACTTCTGAATCTGCACAATTCCTTTTGAGGTCCTAAACCTTCTGGATCTAATCCTCTATCCTGACTCTCCCATCTCTTTCTGTGGTCTTCATGAATTCTTTGTTTATTGCATGGACCTTCAGGTGAATTCTCTTGGTTTACTGCAGTTAGTAAAACAAAATCACAGCCTCCCACCCTCATTGCTTTTTCCCACAAAGGTCATAGCTCCATCATTCTGCTATTTTGTTGGTATCCTTTCCCCATCATATCTCTGGAATTTTGGAACCAGAGCAATGTTGCATAGCCATGCAGAGTTACTACCCAATACAGATCCAGTCCTTTTCACAATTCATATCCTTTCTTTTTCAGACTTGAGAGTGGTGAAGGAAGTTATTGAGATTAGTGTGTGCTGTGAAGTCTGGGGTGATGTGCTTTCTTAGACCACTTGCCCTCAGGTTCTGACTTTTGCTTTTGTATTACCTCCTCACCACCTTGTTTCACTTTATAGGCAAAGGACCAAAAAGGTTTCTTGAACATTATATACTAAACATTAGGAAGAATGCATGGTTTAATAAAGGAACATTTTAAAAGCGTAGAGTTAAATTACAATGGAAATACATCACAGAAAATAATGGAATTTGAGCTGAATCTGGAGGGATGTGTTGAGTTTAGGAAAGTGAAGAGATTTTATTCAGGAGGACCTCTGGAACAAACGTGAGAAAGAACAAGGGAAGCATAAGTGTTGAGCTATACAAAGGGAAGTTGGTTGGTGTTAGGGGATTTGAGACAGTGAGTTAATTGGAAGGGTAGATTGACCAGCTTGAAGTGAGTTCTTAGTGCTGGGCATAGTTGCTTGATAATTTCTTGAGTCATCTACTTATTTAACAAATGACTTCCCACAGCTCATAGGATTAAATCCAAGCTTCTTAACTGGCATGTAAGGTCTTCTTCTATATATGTTAAAATTCACGACCTCAATGCTATGTACCCTAAACTTCTTCCAGTAATATTGAGCACTTTCCTAATTTCCCAGAATGTTGCACTCTCTCAAATCTCCACTAAAGGTTCTATACCATATTTTGTGTTGTACATGTCTGAGTACATGTCTGTTTTCTCATTCAACTGGAGCTTCCTGAGAACAAGGAAGGAGAATTTCATTCTCCTTCACATCCATATCACATCATAGAGTACCCATCTAATATGTAGCAAATGCTTAACAAATATGTAATGAATAAAATATTGATTGAATACTTAATTTACATCAGTGTAGTTGTACTTTAAGAGAGACATCTAAAAGCATTGCAATTGATACATTGAAAATGGGAGATAGATCAGTTATAGGTATTTTTTGAAGTAGCTCATTTGTTTAAAAAAACCCCAAATAAATAGTAGAGGGGAGATTCCTAGAAAACCAGTAAAGAATAAAGGTTAGGACTTAATGACTAGCTACTAGGAGCACTAGAGAATGAAGAGTTAAAACATAACAAAGATTTAAGGTTACTTTCAGATAAACATGTTTTGTTTTTTGTTTTTTTTAAGTCAGATCTCCTGGTATTAGCATTTGCCTCACCCTACCTCTGCTCTGAAGATGAACACTTTGTTCCAGTTCAGTGTTGTGGAGCTAAGCTCAAGATTCATACGGTTCTGATTTTCATATATGATCAGGAATTAAGACATAGAATATAAATAGTTCAACCATGCTGACACCAATTTTCTATCAAGGGAAGGTGTGCAGTGCATAGACTTTTGAATATGTAAAGCGTGTTTCTGTTTCTGGGAACTACAACTTGAAGTGCTATACCAGGCAGGTGCACTGGGGTGCGCTACTATGTATCAGAGCCTAGCTGCATCACAGCTCTCAACTTTAAAACTCCAGAGAATTTGATGAGAGAGGGATCCACAAGAACATGACAAATGATGAGAGTTCAAACCTTAAGAGAAAAATGGGCTTATTGGTAAGAGACCTTTCTTTTTCTTTATTTACTGTTGTTACTTATTCATTAAAATAGCCAGCCTATTGTTTTCATGTGTGGCTGTGAAGCGGTGTACAAAAATCAATTTTATATGTATTGTAGAATTCAGGAGACATATTGGTAACCATGCAAAAATCATAGGAAGCATATATAAAGCTTAAATTTTAAATAATCATGAAGGAAATTTTACTTTATCTCAGACTGTGGTATAGCTTTCCTTATGCAGCTTAAATGTAATACAGGTTTAGAAATACATATATATATATATATATATATATATATATATATATATATATATATTTTAAAAGTTAAAATAAAGGATAGAGTGACTTGTGTAGATACATAATTTCACTCAGTTACCAGAAGGTGGCACACCAGATTCTTCTTAAATACACAAAAGAAAGGAATAATATTAATAGGAATATAAAATAAGCTGTATTTAAAGATACGTCAATGTATTTTTAAGCAAAAAATATATAATTGTTATTTGCTTGGTGAGGCTTATTGTTAAAACATGACAAATACTAATTTAACCTATTGTAGCTTTTTATGATTAAAAAATAATAATTTTTATGTGTATAGCATTATTAGACTTTGAAATACTATTATTATGAAGGAGATGCTGTTTTGAATTTACAGTTTTAAAAAAGAAATAAAATACTTGCTACCTACCTTTTGCATAAAAAAATCATTAGATTTGAGGATATTGTATAAGTTCCCTGCCAAGGTCTTTCTAAAGATACTATTAGGCTATGACTTTGATTTAGTTGTGCCTTTAATAATGCAATAGTGCTTTGTGAGATGACCCAGAAAAAAGCCAAAACTATTTATTTTTAAGACAAAGTTAGAATAGGGTAATGTTGATCTTTTATAAGCTAAAAACAACACAAATGAAGTAAATGTAAATAAATTCAATTTTGTGTTAGAGCTTCTTAAACACCTGACAGCTTACTTTAATTTTTAAAGAGGGTTGAATGCATACACTGCAATGCTTCTGTAGTAGTCCCTATTTTTAAAACTGCATTCCTGAGGCAGTACCAGAGTATGCTCACTGTTGCCTTTTGTATTAGCCCAAAGGAGGTAGACATGTAACAGAACTTCATAAGAACAAAATCTTCTGTTTGGAGACAGTACATCTATTTATATGTTTTTATTAATTACAACCTGCATGAAAATAAAAAAATTGGTAGTGAATGAATCTAGGAGAACATTAACTATCTGTTCTCTGAAAGCTTGTGATGTGTATTATTTGTGTTCAGGAAAAACAATGTATCAGCAAAGAACTGAACTTCAGACTTACAAAGCTAGAAAATGACAAAGCATTCCAAGGCTCAGTATATATTTACTGGAAAAGTGTTCCTTTGTGTCCATATTTGGCTAGTATAGTCTTTTAGATCAGTTGCCAATAAATGTTATATTTAATGTCAGTCTTTATTGCGGACTTTGTAAAACATTAAGAGAGTTTCTAAAAACAAATAGAATCTTACGGCTTTCTAGTTAAGTTTTTTTAAATGTTAATTTAGATATTTTTAAAAGATTCTGTGTGGTCTTAACTGTTCGGGATTTGTAAACATGACTTATTAATTTACAGCTAAAATATTTGCAGAGTATGTTTTGAAAAATGTAAACAAAATACGATAAAGCCACAATTAACCAGATTTTTTTTTTTTTTTTGCACTCCACTTTCAGGAGACGGAGGCAATTGTCTTTAAAACAAGCCGATTTCAAGGACATATTCAAAAAATCAACTTCAGGGTATGTCCAAGGGTCTGCATTTTCCTTTACTTTTTTGTCAGTGAGAATTTAGTTTCACAAAAAAGACCCTGAGATACCAGATGACATTGAATCATGGAGAAAACTTACAATAATGTCTAGGGCACTATGTTTATTAAGACAAAAAATGATAAATTACTCTGTTAAAAAGCACCACGTGTCATTGTATTATTCTTTGTATTTACCAATGTGCTTTCACAAATGCAACGTCATCTGGTTTTCATAACATTGCTGGGAGTCTGGCAAGGAAAGTGGCAGCTTCCCTATTTTAGGGATGAGGGAAAACAATACAGGAAGTCACAAAGCTAGTTAGTGGCAGAGCAATAGCCAGATCTAGCTCTCCCCTCTTCTGCATCATTCCTCATTGAAAAAGTTTGAAAAAAGTTTTTAACTTTTCAGTCTATATTGTACATCAATATAATTGTTAATACTTTTGTCTCCTAATTGCTGTACTTCTCAATTTTGCACTTTGTACCTATCTGTCTGCTTCTGTGCCTGTCAGCCAGATGGAGACCTTGCTTTCAGACTCCCGGATCTTGAAGGATCTGGAGTATGGGAAGGCAAGATAATGGCTGTGGACAGTGCAGATTGACAACTACTGGTGAGCAACCAATGCTGATATGTTGAGGAAGGCCACGGACTGAGAGCAAAAACAGTCTCGCTATAGCTGGGGTTATCGTGAGGTGGGTTAATGACTTTGACTTTAAAGCAGTGTTTCCCCAAGTTTAATAGAGTAGGCATGAAAATCAGTTGGAACACTTTTTTTTAAAATCGGCCCCACCTCCAGACTTATACAGACTTCTACATTTTAAATATTCATACTACATGATTTTTTTAAAATTTTATTTATTTTTAGAGAGAGGGGAAAGGAGGGGGAAAAGGAGGGAGAAAAACATCGATGTGTGAGAGAAGCAGCAATCGATTGTCTCTCACAGGACCCACAATCCAGGCATGTGCCCTGACCGGGAATCGAACCAGTGCCCTTTTGGCTTACAGACTGACACTCAACTCACTGAGCCACACAAACCAGTGCCCCATATGAGTCTTATGCATACTTTAGTTTGAGAGTATCTACCTTCAAGGTATAAGATGTTTCTCTTGGTATATGAATTGGAGTGTAAAGAAAAGAGCCACTTTTCTCTCAATAGCATCCATATTCCTTGTCAAAACATATGGGGGCAGGAGTCAGGACAGGGTGAGGAATGACAGATATTACTTGTACATTGCTATATCTACACCTGTGGTATACTGCAAAGCTATTGTGCATTATGCTGACTATGAGGTATTTTTAAAAAGCCTGTGTCCATTTTAGTCTTGAAGAAGGTAAGAGGGATAAAGATTTCTACCAAAAGGTGAAAAATAAACAAGTTGTGATATTTTGAGTTAATCTATCCCAGATTTAATTTTTTAAGTTTATTCCTAAGTAATTTCTTTTATGTTGCAATTACAAAATGAGCCTCAAGAATATTATGTCAAGTGAAATAAGTCAAATAGAAAAAACAAAGAACTATATAATTTCACTCTCATTTGGGATATAAAACTTAAAGGAAACAATTAACAACAAAAACAAACAATGAAATGGCTAGAAAACTATGCTATCCAGGATTCTGTATAATTAAGGCTTACTGTAGTAATATATGTATGCTTACTTGTGTTTCATATGTGATTATGTAGTCGGCCTGATTATATTGTAAGGGATTTGCAGCCAGGAAGCATTGTATACTTGTAAAACATTTAGAAAAGTCATAATTTTTCAGCACTTACTGATGATTGAACTAATTCAGCATACACGTCTTCTCTACATGTTTTGGGCAAGGCACAGTGAGCTGATTGATTTTGGTTTTGTCAAGTTCAAGGAGTCTACTATCTTACACTGTCAGTAAAGCCTAATATATTGGAGGTCTGAGGTTAAACAAATGTGTTTTACTTGACAAATTCAAAAACATTGTTCTAATTAATCAATTTGTTAATGCTTGTTCCCTGTTTAGAGGATCAGTTTAAGCTTAATTCTGCTGCCTATTCACTCTTTTTGGAACACAATTTATGTTCTGTGCTTTACAAATCTGAATCTCAAAAATTGGTAATTCTGGAAATCCAAAAACATAGATATTCTCATTTACTGAACAAATAGTATCATAGGAATTTAAACAAAATGGCCAGATACTGTAGTGGAAGACACACAGAAAGGCTCAGCAGTGTCTCTGATTTAGATCAAGATGAATAATGAATGAATAAATATATGGTAGCTAAAGGGAAGGTATATTTTACTTAAGTGTTATATAGCTTCAGAATTCCAAGAGAAAAAACTATTTAACACATATATTTGATTTTGAAGACTTAAAGTGGCTGGTTCTGAACTTACTGGTTGAAGCAGATTTAAAAAGACAGTCAAGAAACCCAAATTTAAATTGCATCTAGCTTAAACCTAGGGTCAATCTAGAAGATGGACCGGATTTTTATTTCCTTGTATCAAAATCATGCTTACTTTAGTTAGTAATAGAACATGAAATAAAGGAAAAGAAATGATTCCCCCATTGGACAACCATTGCATCCAAGTAAGGAAGTTAGACATAACTCTGAAATAATGCTGTGATTAGTTTGTAACACATGGACACTTTATATAACTTGAGTTAATGATGTCTTAGAACATAGGTTATCATTGAATTGCTAAATGTTTTTCAGGCATAGCAATTTGAAATTGTATACTTTTTGGCTAGCTTCTATAATTGAGACTTACCACCATATATTTGACATATTTCAGTATAACTGTTTCTATACTCCCCTCTTCTTAAGGAAAAAATGTTATTTCTTAAAATCACCCAAGAGAAGAATTCTAAATGAGAAAATGAGAAGGATCTCAAAATAGTCATGAAAATAAAGGTATTGAACTGTTTGCTAAATCTCTTGGATACCACCATAGTAGGCAAACACTGTGACTGTACACCTTTATGAAAACTGTTGAGCCCTGTGTTATGGCATTGTGTCACAGGGTTCAAGTTTGAAGCTGAGTCACCTTTGGAGTTTAAGATTTTTTTTATCCATTATATAGTTGAAACCTTTTATTTTTAGTCAACAATAGTTTCTACAGGAAATATAAAATTTTCATGGGTAGGCTTGGCAAGTGGTAAAAACAAAATTAAAGCAATTGAATATTAAGAGACCCTTTCAATGGAAACTTTAAATAGTGTTGTATAATCTTAATGAGTTATTAGGATTAGCTTTCCATGAAAGTGTTTGCTTCTGATTAGCAAAACATTATTGTGATTGCTCTATAAGTATTTGAAACCAAGATTTACAAATACTCAGAGGGAGAAAGAGACAGGACAACTAGGTAATCTTCTAGATCTCCTTTGTAGTTATAAGATTTGTGGTGCAGATTTGAATGTTATAATTCCTCTTTGGGTGAGATGGTAATAAATATGATTTTTAAAAATAATAGCATTATTTTATTTTACTTAGGTATTGAGGAAAATGTCATATATTATTCTAAAGGTCTTTTGGTAACTCCAATTTTTATGCAAGTGTAGGTATTTCTGAAAGAATGTAGAATATATCAAATGATTACTTTCTTTAAATGGCATGTCTTTTGAGATTTTGTATGTGATGTGCTTATTACTAAAACATTTTTCAACCATTATAGATAAAGATTATTAGAAGTTATTTACTCATAACAAAATAGCTCGAATTTACAAAAATTACAATTGTCATATTGTTCACTACATTGTCTTCATACAACTTCTGTAGTTTTGCTTCTATATCTGATGCCACCAAAATTAAAATAAAGTCATGAAACTATTTGAAAAGCTTTATATGAATGTATTTGTAATTTAGTAGAGCTATATTCTTAACTTTTCTTTCAGTAATACTGTACATCTTACATAGCTTTTTATTTTAATAAGTTTGCAGGTTTAATGTACAAACATTTCAGAAAATCTAACAATCGTTTGCACATTTTATTTTAAGCAGATATTTAGGAAGTTGCTGAAAGAGAAGAGATTTTTCATTAGAGCAATCCATTATCACCATAGTGATGCATTTATTTCATTAAGAAAGAGTGTGTTCTGGTTGATTTTTGTCAATACATATTTATTTTTAACAAGTTAATGTGTATATTTTTTCATATTAAAGATTTATAGCCTAAAATTGTCAAATTAACAGATGAATATTTCTTTTACCAGAACCCTGCTTTTAGTAATAGCAGAATCAATAACAACATTTAAAAAACCTTCCATGATATACCCTATCTTCAACATAATTCTTAATGAATCACTCCTCTGCTTATAAACTTCTTTTTCAATTTACTCGAAAAGTATTTATTACTTACTTTCCAATGTGCCAGGAATAGTGCTCAATAGGAAGATAGATTCAGGGATTCCTTCTGGAAGGAGGAGCAAGAATTTGGGGAGGGCATTTCAAGCAGATGAAGTAGTGTAACTGGAGTATAGGGTGTGGTAACAGTATAGCCTCTTATTGAAGCACTGGATACATTACCCCTATTTGATCATGATAAACTCTGTAAGTTGCATTAGTCATTTTAACAAGGGTCATGAAAATTCAGGTTTATAAATAGTTTACATTGAAAAGTCACTGCTTTCTGTTGCTACTCCTAACACAAACACACACTTTGGTTTGGAGTTTAAAGCATTTTTTAAATAAATGGGAATACTTAAGTACTGATTTGTAAAAGAGGGAACCCTAGTACACTGTTGGTGGGAATGCAGACTGGCACAGCCACTGTGGAAAACAGTGTGGAATTTCCTCAAAAAGATAAAAGTGGAACTGCCTTTTGATCCAGTGATTCCCCTGCTGGGACTATACCCTAAGAATCCCAAAACACCAAATTCAAAAGAACCTATGCACCCCAATGTTCATAGCAGCACAATTTACAATAGCCAAGTGTTGGAAGCAACCTAAGTGCCCATCAGTAAATGAGTGAATCAAAAAACTATGGTACATTTACACAATGGAATACTATGCAGCAG